TGTGGAAGCCCCACATCACACCAAAGACTCCTGCCAAGTTTGATCCCTTCTCTGATGTGCGAGTATTAACATGTGCAGCATTTAACAAATAGAGAGCAAGTGTTTGCGTTTTCCCATACAGGTGAAACTCGAATAATTAGAATATCGTGCAAAGTTCATTTATTTCACTAATGCAACTTAAAAGGTGAAACTAATATATGAGATAGACTCATTACTTGCAAAGCAAGATAGTTCAAGCCATGATTTGTCATAATTGTGATGATTATGGCTTACAGCTCATGAAAACCCCAAATCCACAACCTCAGAAAAGTAGATTATTACATGCAATCAATAAAACAAGGATTGTACATAGAACAATATCGGACCTCTGAAAAGTACAAGCATGCATATGTACTCAGTACTTGGTTTGGGCCCCTTTTGCAGCACTTACTGCAATTACTTTTGCACGATATTCTAATTATTCGAGTTTCACCTGTACTTCCATTATGCCTAGGTATGGCCTGGCTGGTCCTCTACAGATATCAGAGTCTCCTTTGTGAAGGACCCAGACTGACATAAACAATGATGTTACTGAAAACGGATGCCACTAGGAATACTCAGTAACTCGCAGGAAGGAGTACAGATGATTGACTTGCTGGCACACACTTTTGCCTATGACAGACTTGCTATTCTTGTATCCTTATCACTTCACTTGTTATTCTTGTATCCTTATCACTTCACTGCAGGTCAGCTGCAAGGCAAAAACTCTAACAATACTGACAGGTCCATTTCTCTGGTACACATAACAGTACAGTCTGTGTGTAGCATAGTGTGATGGCACAACACACTAATTCAACACTAGGGTATTTAAGCTGTTTGTAGGAAGGTCTGCAACAACAGAAGGCCGCCAGTTGTCTGACGCTTACCTGGATTACTGCAGCACATGAAGATAATTTTAGTGGAACTCCAGCCTAACAGCTGAAATACGTATGCGTTTACCATTTTACATGCCATTCTGTACAGCTAGTCTTGTGATGTGTGCACCTCTGCCTCACTGTACTGCCAGGAAGAACAAGCTACTGCTTCCTGTCCTTAATATTTACTGATTTAGGGTTACTGCTTCCTTGATCAGTCCCTGCTCAATAAAGAGAAATGGTGATGCAGAACCATTGTCCAATGACATGTTTCCTGTCTAGATGTGCAGTATGCAGGAAGGAAAGTGCTAACAGTTTTGACTTTTGCACACTAGTGGATTCAAGATACCTGTACATTCTGGCTCATGGCTTGTACTTCCCAGAAAGTTGCCCATGCCGGACCAGAGTTCCAATTGGAGTAATTATTAATACAGCTGAATGCCCCACACTTCCTGTAACCTCTAATGGATGCAGTGTTGCAGTAAATTTCAACATTCGCTGTACAGAATTGTAAACGTTTTGGCAGCTTTTCAACAAGCAAATATGTATTTTAGCCATTCACCCGGAGTTCAAGACTGGTTTTCCTTTTAAAATGTACCTTAGAACAACGATACAACCTTGTATTTGTTTAATCAGACTTTGCTATGGGTCATGGATGGCTTAATATAAAATAAATCTACTATGCTAAGCCATCCGTAGGTCTCGACATGTAAATGAAATTTAACAAAACCACAGCAGAAGCTCCGTGTTATCCAATTCTGTGATGTGAATGTGATGTGAGTGCATTTAAACCCAAGAACACAAAAAATAATATAATATATTGCAGCTTACCAGTCTTTAGCTGTGGTGGCTGCATTCATTTTCCCTTTATGTTTCCCCTGGTGAATCTGCTATTGACAAAATTCCTGTCCTAGTGTGAGACCGCTCATCGTACTGTAACTTTAAAGGAGCACATTTAACACTCTAGGACAGTAAAGCTGGCCATACACTATTCCAATTCCGGTCGATTCTTCGGTCAGCACCCAATAGGCTGGCATCCCTTGATCAGCTGAGCACAGGAGCCATTCAGAAAATCTTTGAACACAGTGGGCAGCCAATGAGCTGTTGGCTGTATTTGGGTATTTTGATGGCGGTCGCCGTCAGAATACAATACAAACAGCAGGAGATTCCCCAACCAACGCTCGGAAGCAATGATGGAGGAATCTAATATTTTCTTTGAACGAAAAACCTGAGGAGGTGTTCTAATCCATCTCCACTCTAAACAGGAAAAATAAAAATGTTCTGGCTTCAGTTGAACTTTAACCCCTTCATGACTGAGGCCCTTTTTTCAATTTTTGCAAAGGAGAGCAAGTATTCAAACTGACCCCTGGCTGCATGCCTGCCCTATCCAAGTGACTCAAAGGACAGCCAGTAAATATAACTTCAGGTCAGCAATGGCAGCTGCCATCATTTTCTCATGAGATAATTACCTTAAAGGGTTTCTAAACCCTCCGTTTTTTTTGCCTATATAGACAGCTAGCAAGCAGTAGATATTTTTTAGAAAAGTTTTTTTTAAAAACGCTTTAACAACGGTTTAAACTTACCTCGTTATCGCTGCGCATTCCCGCCCGAGAATCCGAAACTGCTCGGGCGGCCGCAAAGCATCTTGGGGCGGACGCATGCGCAGTTCGGATTCTCGGCCGGGAGACGAGCAGAGACGCAAGGTAAGTCTATGGACGCGTGCACCCGCATGCAGACACCGCGGGATCGGAAGTGCCTGCAGGGACAGAGGAGTCAGCGCTGGATCGGAGACCCGCCGCAACGCTGGAGGGACAGATGAAAACATCAGGAAAGAAGATCGGATTAAGAGACATCATTTCAGGTAAGTACTGACATTAACATGGGGGAGGGAAATTATTTTTTTGACTTTAATGTCACTTTAAGCCGCTTGGCGACACCTGTGTATTATATCCCTCATCAGCATAAAAAAAAAAAAAGGATACAATATATAAAATTTAAAAATCACAATCCCAAAATATGAGCTTCATTTTAGGCAATTAAAAAAAAAAAAGATAACAGCATCATTAAAAATAAGTTGTATTTTAATGGCAAAACAGATTCAATATATTTAAATGTAACCAGCATATTAAAATATACATTCTTGGTATAGTACATGGAAATTATATAGGGATAGCTTTCAAAGTCCTGGTGCCATTTATGTGATCCCCAAAGTGTGGACCATTTACCACCAATAGGAAAGAAGGATGTTGCACAATGATGGTATGAGGTCACATCCATCTTTAGTACACCTGGACGTAGCACACTGCAGTCTGGCCTAGGACCACCCTCTCTACAGTTTCACCCATGAAGGGCTTGATCGCAGAGATCACCATGATGTCACTGTGCTTCACTACGGCCTCCTCAGGAAGTCGGGGCGCTTGAAATGCTTCCACCTGCTCTAAAAACGCAGGAAGACGTACATGTAAGCAATTTTTTTTCCTGCTCGTGGGCGCGCACGAGCAGAAACCTGCTGGGAATCTAAACAGCCGGTAGCGGCTGCTACATACCAGTGTATCTACAGCCAGCCGATCGCTTGCATGGCTACATGTAGTGTGCGCCCCCTCCATTGCCGCGCTCCCCCCCC